TTCTATGATTTATAAGCTTGGCCAAAGGACGAGAGGGGTCAGAGCTCAAGAGAGATAGTGGATAGTTTTTTTAAAGAATTCTGAAGTTCTGCAAGTACTTCTGAGGTTTTGCTGTGTCTGCTCCAGAATTCATTCTACCGGTGGTTGGTGTATCCCATTCCTGTGGGGAGAACAGCTCCAATTCTTGAACCTCCTCCAATTCAGTATGATTTCCTGGTGCCTTCAGTGCCACCTTCAAGAGTTAATCTATGTCAGGGTGTCCACTCACTTTTTTCTCCCCAGTAGACATTTTTACTTCTCCAAAGAGATGAAAATAAGAAAACTGCTTAGTTTTCTTCTTTGTTGTAATATAGTGCAAATGTGTATGCTAATTTTCAGGATATAGTGAACCCAACTGCTCCAGATTTGATGGAATGGGAGAAGGACTGGAAGCCTTGATATGCACCAGTCCAGAATCTTCTATTCCCTTCCTTGACTGCTACTTGTTGACATTTAAGATATGGAGCTGTTACCTTTTGTTTTTTGTGAATAAAAGTTGAACTTTTTTAACTTTCTTAGATATTGGTGGAGAGAGTCTGTAAGACAGCTTTATTCCATTTTCTTTTTTTACTCTCAGTGAAATAGAGCATAATGTATTAATACAGATAAATCTCTCAAAATAATGTTGAACAAAAACATTTCAGAGCAATTATAGTAATATCCCATTAATATGAGATTGAAAAAATACATAAAATACCACACGTTTTTACAGACACATACATGCATGCATTTGTAGTGATTGTATGGAAACTTTTATCAGAATAATAAACACTAAATTTAGGAGATAACTGTGGGGAAGTAGGGAGGCGAAGGTATACAACGGGCTGCATCTGTATCCGAAATGATAATTTCCTAAGAAAAACAAATTTATTTTTTTGTTGTTGTTTACAAAAAGTAATTTGAAAAAGAAGGAAAAAAGGGAAAAAAAAGACAAAAAGTACCCTTAGACAAATATGAATCAAAAGTTAGTATTAAAAATTAATATTGGGGTTGGATTGTGGCTCAGGGGTAGAGCTCTTGCCTAGCATGTGTGAGGCACTGGGTTCAATCCTCAGCACCGCATACAAATAAATAAATAAAATAAAGGTATTGTGGAAAAAACACAAAAGTGTTCAACAATTAAAAAATAATAATGTCAAATAAATACCCCAAAGTATATTAAGTAATAAGTTTAGGGAAAATGACAACCAAATAACTCCTTAGTAAGATGTAAGGCTTCATAATGCACAAGCACCTTAAAAATAAGTCCCCAAACTTATGGGGGGAAAACAATCTGATACAAGTACAAGAAAAATCCATTATTATAATAAATATTAACATCACTACCTGAAACTCAAAAATGAAATGGACAAATAACTATGTAGAAGAGATGATAAGCACAAATAGCTGATCTAAGGGACATGCATGAAAACCTGAACCTCTCACATACACAGACTTTTCAAAAACACATGGAACATGTATGAAAACTGACCAAATACTCAGCTACAAAATGAGTCTCAATTTACTCCATTTCTTAACCTAGAAGTAGGTTTTCCCCATTCAGCTGCCTTGGCTTCTGTCTTTGGGGGGATGTGGGTGTTGCCAGCACCAGGGAGGAGAGTGCAAGCTTCTCCCAGGTGCCCAAACAAGATCAGGCTCCACCCTCACACAGGTGCAGCATGTTTACACGCACTACTTTTTAATATGCATATATCTTTATTTTTTGTGATTATAAAAGTTACATATCCTTTGTAACTAGCCAAGCACTTGTGAGGCACTGGGTTTGATCCTCAGCACCACATAAAAATAAATAAATAAAATAAAGGTATTATGTCCATCTACAATTAAAAAAACATATTTTTTAAAATTTATTGTTTAGTTTTCAGCGGACACAACATCTTTGTTGGTATGTGGTGCTGAGGATCAAACCCAGGCCACACGCTTGCCAGGCGGGCGCGCTACCGCTTGAGCCACATCCCCAGCCCCTAAAAAAATATTAAAAAAGAATAACTTTTGGGCTGGGGATGTGGCTCAAGTGGTAGCGCGTTCGCCTAGCATGTGTGAGGGAATGGGTTCAATTCTCAGCACCACATAAAAACAAAATAAAGATACTGTGTCCACCTAAAACTAAAAAATAAATATTTAAAAAAAAGAATAGGGGCTGGGGATGTGGCTAAAGCGGTAACGTGCTCGTCTGGCATTCGCGGGGCGCTAGGTTCGATCCTCAGCACCACATAAAAATAAAATAAAGATGTTGTGTCCACCGAAAACTAAAAAATTAAAAAAAAAAAAAGAATAACTTTAAAGTCTCCAGATATACAACTACTTTATACATCTATTTTCATTTTTCTTGTCAATGCCCACTAGAAATATATGAATATATAGATGTCTTTTTTAATATTTTATTTTAGTTGTAGATGGACACAATATCTTCATTTTATTTATTTTTATATGGTGCTGAGGATCGAACCAAATACCTCACACATGCAAGGCAAGCACTCAACCACTGAGCCACAACCCTAGCCCTAGATGTCTTTTTTTTTTTAAAGAATAGTTTTGTTGAGGCATGTTTTACAAGTCGTAAATACACTTATTTTAGCTGTATACTCCAATGATTGTGCAACCATCTCTGTATATAGGTACATAGATACATAGTTACTTTCTTAATCCCTATTTAACCTACTGCCAATTCCAAAATTTCTTATTGATGCCTACAGGATGATAAACATGACTACAAAACTTCTTTTGGCAACTTCTGATAGTTCTATTCCTGTTGCCTGAGTGCCTACCAAATACCAATTGATATTCCACTTATATATCAGTGATATTTTCTACTGTAATTTAGATTTGTGGAAACACTTGAAATATGAATATAAAGAGATTTCTCTGCAAAAACTAAATTGGAGCCAGGTGCAGTGGTGCATGCCTGTCATCCCAGTGGCTTTGGAGGCTGAGGCAGGAGGATCTTGAGTTCAAAGACAGCCTCAGCAACTTAGAAAGGCCCTAAGCAACTCAGTGAAACCCTGTCTCTAAATAAAAATACAAAAGGGCTGAGGATGTGACTCAGTTTAGTTTTTTAGTGACTCAGTGATTAAGTGCTGCTGTTTTAAGTCTCTAGTACCAAAAGAAAAAAGAAAAAATAAAACCCAACAAAACAAAACAAAAACACTAAATTGGATGCTTCGGAAAGGCTTGTTAAAGGCAAATTGCTAAAAAATTGTTAAATTAGGTCTGGGTGAGAAATCTGTAAGTGGAAATACTAGGATTGATCATCCAGAATAATTTTGCATTTGAATTGTTTTACAAGTGTCTTTCAAATTTCGCATCAGTTTAATAAAACCTTTAAAGAAACCACAGATGATTCATTAAAGGTAAGAAACAAAATCATTTCAAGAAATGCTTCAGAGGTACCATAATCATAGAAAGGACCTAACTCAACCTACAAAGATTGGTGAAAGACTTTACATTTATAGGCCTTAAATTTAAAAGAAAATACTTACAATATATAATTAATTTACTTTTCTTTAGATAAACAAAACTGCATATTGAATAATTCTATATGATTCTGCATTTTAATGGAATTTTCCACCGGCACCTACTAGTTGTAATTGTACCAGAAGGAAGGACTTCATGTCTAACAAATTTTTTCCTTTATAATATATTGAGAAAATTTTCATGTCACCATATCTACCTCATTTGTGAAAAGCCAGCCTCATAGTATTCCATTGTGCGTGGACACCCTTCTTTACCTAACAGATTCCTTATTAAAACCATAAAACCATTTGCCTTTTGTTTTGTTTGTTTTGTTACTGGGGCTTGAACCCACGGGCACTTTACCACCGAGCTACATCCCCAGCCCTTTTTGCTGTTTTTTTTTTTTT